TTGCTCAAACTGACAAATCCACCATGGCATTGTTTGAATATTGACATTATATTTTGTAAGAAATGAGAGTAGGTAAAATATATTTTTTGGTTGGGATTTTTTGTTTGGTGTCCTAAAATTTGTCTTATTTGATGTAAGTATAAAAGTCACAGATTTTGTAGACCGGAAAGCAAAGTGCTATCACCATTTCACACACATGCAAATATAAATTCTTAGCAATGTCAGCTTGTAGGTTATAGAGTAATAGCATGAACCCAAGTCTTGTGAAAGGCCATAAAAGCTAATTCCACAATTGCTCACAAATATATTATATCTGGGTCAATATTATTGAATTAAAAAAATAAGGAATTGTGAAGGTTGCCCAGAGAAGAATCATTCTAACACAGTAGAGTACTTGCTTATGAAAATAGATTTTTCACTTCTCTATATACAATACTTAATGCATTTGAAGTGTTTATCTCCTTCTCTAAAGCATTAGAGAGTAATTTAGAGCCCAAGGACAGTTGCCCTGTCTGACCTTCAAGTTATTCCAGTATGCTTTCCTCTACCAACAGTCTTTGTAAAATGTTAACAGTGTATATTTCAAAGACAATTGTATAGTACAAAAGACTCATCATATCATAATAATAAAACAATAAATATATACAAAATAAATGTTCAAAATGTATCAACTAATAATAATATTAAAAACATGAGTACCATGTTTTGAAAATATTTGAAGCAATTTTTCTCCCTTGGAGAATTAACATAACAAAGGCAAGTTACAACCTACTAAACAGAAAAAAAAATAGAAATTTACTAGGTGGATATATCCCATCCAGCCAGTTAATATGAGTCAAAAGTCTTATGTTATAATTGTAACAAGTACTTGAACTTATATTCTTTTAGTTCCAGAAATTGATCATTTAAATGTTATTAATTAAAATTATTAAGCTCCATATATGAAGAATTTATATACTTGTCTTTTAAAATTTTAGGTTTGTGAATTTTTTTGACTTAGAATCTTTTGGTGAACATTTGTCTTCCTAGATAAGGTATCATAGTGCTAGTCATCTCAACACATGTTTCTCCTTGCATCTGCTATAATTATAATACCTCTTAGTCAACTGAAGTATAACATGGCAATCCCTTATATATAAACATGTCTTTAAATATGTGTAACTGAGAAACATAATTTTTGAGAGTGAAATATGTCATAGTCAGTCTCCAAAATGGACACCAATGGTCCTTGCCTGCTGGTATTCATACCCTCCTGTAGTTTTCCCAACAATAAACAGGTCTGGCCATTGTAACCACATGGACTTTGCAGAAATGACTGTGTCTTTTAAGTCTAGGTCAAAACAGGCATTGTGGGTCAAGCCTTGCTCTTTCTTGGATCACTTGCTCTGAGGGAAGAAGTGTCTTCCTGAATGTTGGGAGGACACACCAGCACTAATCTGGCATCATCTGAGTGAGCATCTTGCCATGATTCCACCACAATAGAAAATCTTTCAAAAGTCTGCAGCCCCAGCCAATGTCTTTACTGCAACGTCAAGATATATCTCAAGAACCACCCAGCTAAGCCATTCCAAATTCCTATCTCAGAAATTGTATGAAATTATAGTTATTGATGTTTTAAGAAACTTAGTTTTAAGGTTATTAAACTTCAATAGATAATCTTTACAAAATATTCTTCTAAGTGAGATGGACAAGTAAACAGATATTAGAATATAATATTTTAACTGTTTTTACTACAAGGACCCATAAGATAATAATGGATTGAAAGTAAGGTAGCAAATTCTTTTTAGGAAGTTGAAAAATGTTTCAAAATGAACGGTAGGATTTACAGGATGAATAACAGTTCTATAGATAGAAAATGAGTCTCTCCTAGTGATCTTAATACTTATACAGTACTCACGATAAACCAGATTTTGTTCTAAGTCCTTAAAATATATTCCTCTTATAATTTTCTCAATAGTCTTATTTCACAGGTACTACTATCCACATCTTATAGATAATGAAACTGAGACAAAGAGAGGTTAAGTGATTTTTCTAACATCAGCTAGCAGCAGTTAGGTCTCGATTTAATATCAGAGAAATCAGCGCCAGAGAAATCACATTCTCAACTATTTTACTATACTTCCTGCTATCCTAGGGGGCATATGGGGTAACAGTTTAAACAAAGGCAGCAGGAAATGAGAATATATTTTCACAGGGAAGAGAAGCAGGCAAGAACTGTCGGAACTATCACTGGAAAACAGGATACATGAGCTGACTAATAAATTGAAAATAAAGCGCTAAGTCAAGAACTTGAATTTCATGCCAAGAAAATTGTCCTTAGGCAATAGGAAATACTTGATGATATTGTGTTTAATGAAGACACCTTGCAGCACTGTTAAAGGGGAGAGATTGGATGAGAGGAACAAAAAGAAATTGTATTCATCCCCTCAAAAGACTCAGGGTCTGGGGTGAGGTAATGGAGACCATAGTAATAAGAGAAGGCAAATTTAAGAGATATCTGTGGTTTAGCCAGCGGAGAATATGGTGACTGATCAGGTGCCAAGCAGATTTAAAAGATGACTTGCAGGTTTTTGTTTGTAGGCATGAATATTTAGGTAGTTCATTAATAAATATAAAAAACTAGAGGTGATCTCTCTCATGGAAGGTGTTTTTAATAATTACTACTTGAAAGAAATGAAGTAGTAGTAATATGGAGGGGTTTATTTTCCCCCTAACAGTGAAAGAACAATAACAAAACATTATCGTTAGGGCCTCCCCTGGTGGCGCAGGCGGTTGAGCGCAGCACTGTGAAGCTGTCTGCAGCCTCTGCAGTGCAGGTTCAATCCCTGCCGGTCGGCGAGGGTCCCACATGGTGCGGCAGACCTCTCCTGTCTGGCCCACTGCTCCCCTCAGCAGTGTATTTCAGTCAGTCTGCCTGTTCTGTTCCTCACTCTGTCTCTGGTGAATCCTCTCACCCTCCCGCGAATCTGGCCTATACCCCGGTTCTTGTGTAAATAAGTAAATAAAAATCTTAAAAAAAAAATCCTTAACTCTTAATTACAGTGGCCCAGGGAAGCTCCAAAGCACAATGTGTTTCTTACATCTAAGTATCTAATCTGAAAGTCTATAGGAAGTTGCTCATTTTATAAATTAAGAACATACTCAAAATAACCTGTAGTATACTTATTAAAGTTTTAACTTTACAAATATTAGATTTACATCTTCTGAAATATACCCCTTGTAAAAATACAAGTCTATATTTTGCGATTATTTGGTTGTAAAATTTAAATAAATGATATTTAAAAAAAGGAATAAATGAAATGCCACCGTAAATATAGGCTCAAGGGAAATGAAATTAATTAGGGTAATGTAACCAAATATTTTTCAGTTGAAATTCTGGGTCATACTTTTATACAGTCATTCCCATTGTATATTCTTTAAGAGGTCACATTTTACAATATAGAAAATACTTAAGAGTATATACTATTTAGCACAATATGTAAAGGCTCAATGTCTAGCCTATTTATTTTAAGATTTATTTATTTATGCATACAAGAACTGGCATATAGGCCAGAGGTGTGGTGGGTGGGAGGGCTCACCAGAGAAAGAATGGGGAGCAGAACAGAGAGACTAACTGAAATACACTGCTAAGGGGAGCAGCGGTCATGACAAGAGGTCTGCTGTACCATGTGGATAGTTCCTTGGCAGGCCAGGGATCGAGATGTGCTGCAGAGGCTGCAGATAGCTTCATAGTGCTGTGCTTAATCCCTTGCACCACTAGGCAGGCCCTGTCTACCCTATTTAGACTATAGATTTATGACTCTGGATAAATAGCCCTTTATACCTTGGTTGATTAGCCTACCTGTTAGGTGATGCTCATTGTAGCCCAGCTGCCACTGTACAGCAGACCATACCAACCACACCTGTATCAATGAACCCAAGTGCCTCAGCCTTATGACTTTGTGATATTAGACTTCTATTTCTTTCAACATAGCTATTTACTGGCATATATAATGGTTTGTGAATAATTGTTGAATGTATAAAGTATTACAATGAAAAATAGAAAATCCCTGTATACGTAGAATGCAGCTCACAATTTATGTATTTCCTGGGTCCTACTGATTCTACACCTACCAGAGAAAGAAAATGGGAGGGGGTACAAATATGAAAAAGCACAGTGAAAGGTTAATGAAATGTTTTTGCTTGTGGTAAAAAGCGATAAGCATAAATACATTCTATTCATTTAATATTTATTGAGCACCTGACTAATTTCTTCCCTGAAGGAACTCACAGTCAATAGAGCATGTCAGATGTGGAAATAGACAAATATAATTTTAAAAAATAAACAAAGACCTTGAACAAGGAGATAGATGAAATATATACTCAGAGAATGAATACACCATAATGAAAAATGTATCTTTCCTCACTTGTTTATTCCTATTTTACCCCACATCCATAAGAACACATGGACACTCAAGATGTAGTATCTCATTACAAGTAATTCTAGGAAAATTCTCTTAACACTCTATTTTCAGGAACTCAAAATAGGATGCTTTTGTGGGAGGAGCAAAGTACTCTGGAAAGGAAGCTTGAAGCAGATGGTAAAAGGCTATAAAATTATGTGATTTTCCATGTGTCCAAAAGATTTATTTTGGTTTGGTTGTTTTATATTGCCAAGTGTAAAACCTACAAATTATCCTTTATTATGTTTGGTATAAAGTCCTAGTTTTCAAACTAAATTTCCATTCAAGCTTTTTAATCATTATCTTTATGAAATTGGAACAGTCAACCTTTGTTCACATCTACAAATAAGCAACTCAATCTCATTTTGGAATCAACGAGTTTAACAAAGAAGGAGCATGAATAGGAAATGTGAAGTAGCAAACAACTTCAATATCTTTCAAGCATGTTCAAATGAGGTACATTATTTCTCAAACTAAGATGAGGTGAAGAGGTATAGAGACAGAAGTAAAGAAAGCACTGTTTCTTTCCATTTAAAAATCAAATTTCATGGATCTTACCTGAAAAGTTTTTGTAATCAACTAAATCAAACATCACAACAGCAACAGCTGACCACGTGATTATCAGAGCGATGACTAGAAGCCAGGCTGCTGGGGAGCTGAAGGTTGTCACTATGTCTTCTGTGACTGTCCTCTTCAGCATTTTTCCAGGGGACTTGGGCACAGATCCATTCTTGTTGTCTATCACAGTTGTGGTAGTAGATGCATTGCCTGACAAAATAATGACAAATTCAGAAAGAAGAATTACCATTTAGAAATTCACATCAAATATTGATGGCTAAAAACACAGACTACATACATAAATTGTTACCCATTTTCTGTATACAATACACCTTAGAGAGAGACCATATATCTCCCCTTGCTGCTATATTATATCTTCCTCAGAACTTATCCTCCATCCTAAATCCAAGTTTTTTCATAATCAACCTTCCTAATCTCCCAAGCTCCATATCATCCAGGCCACAGATATTGTTAACATCTCCATTCACTTTTGCTTCTTCCTTACCACCACCACCACCTTCCTTACCACCACCCCCAGAGAACTGGGAGTTATGGGTGAAGTTTCTTGCTTCTTCCTTACCACCACCACCACCTTCCTTACCACCACACCCAGAGCACTGGGGTTTTTTTTTTTGCCACCTTTTGCCTTTGTTTAAGCTGATATGTCAGTTCTGAATGTAAGCAAAAATATCTACCCCAAAGGGAGAATCAAAATCCTTGATCAAATAGCTTGAATGTATGAAATTCCTCTGGATATCATAGTTTAACTACATAATTGACCCTTCAAGTACAGTTATTCATTGCTTTATTGGTGCATGGGTATAGAAGTTCGAAAGAATAATGTTGAAAAATCTTATTATATTCAGTAAATTTTTATTCCTAAAAGAGTACATATTTATGAAATAAAATTCAAAAATATAAAAAATAGCAAAATAAATGAATAGGTGATCATTTGTAATTTCACCACCCAGAAACTACTGTTGATATGTTTTTCTATTTATACATAATTTTTGTGCATACATAATATATATAAATGCTTTATTTGTTTTTGATAAATCATCATCACATTGTCCTTTATGTTTTTTATTAGGCAACATATAATAATTGCCATTATGCATTCCTTAAAAAAAGTTAAGTGGCTATATGACCTGTTATTTTGTGGTTTGAATAATGCAGTCAAAAGCAGAAATTTTCTCAGCACCCATTAACAATTATTTAATTAGAAAAAAATATAGAATTTGTGGGACAAATAATTGCTTTTATAACTTTTGAGAAAATGTATATTTTTGAATTTACCATTATTTTTGAAAATTTTATAAGTCAATAGTCTGTTTCCTTTACCATACCAAGTATTATCAGTGCACAGAATATTTGCAGGAATATAGAAGAAAAAATTAGCTTCATTTGCATTTATAATTACTAGATATGAGCTTTATATGTTTATTTTTGCCTTGTAATTTCTATCTTGTAAACTTTACTGTACATTTTTCTCCTATAAAATCACTGACGTAAGAAATATGTCCCCTCACCAGCCCAGTGGAAATGAAGCATTATCTCATTATATTGAGAACCCTTGATTCACAGAAACTTTAACCTAGAAGAAAATAGATTATGAAATAAATATTTCATTTTATATTTAAGATTTCAAGACCTATCAGAAAATGTAAGAGATTTGTATTTCCGATCATAAATTAATATGTAACAAATAATTCAATACTAAAAAGAAATTTACATTCTTAATAATAAATATTTTTGCCCAAATCACAACTTAATAATATTTCATATATTTAAGATATGGACCACATTGTCTATAATAATTTAATAAACATCACAAAAATAAAATTTTGATTACTCATATTCTGATTATCACACATTTTCAATTTCACTATTTATCATTAAACTTACATTTCCAAATAAACAAGCAAACTCAAATTTTCAAACCTCTTTAACGTTTTTCACAAAATAAATTTCACCTAACTCATATTTATTCTTAGAATGTGTTAAATAAATAATTTCTGAAAGGTTTTTCATCTTTTAAAAGCTGAGAGGAATTCTTTGTACTGTTCGAAAACTTCAGAGTATAGTGAAAGGACTCCTTTCAACCTTTCAGACTCTTGTCTTACCTTCTTTAATTGGGTCTTTGTTATGGACAAAGTAATGTAAAAATGTTATACCATCATTTTTATGGACAAGAAAAATCAGTATTAGCTCCTAGCTCCCTCTGCCTTAGCTGAATGGCTAGAAGGTCACAACTACACCTCACGACTATACCACTGTGAGTGGGAAGCATCTGGATCTCAGGAATGAGGTTGATAAGACTCAATTTCGCTTTATGATGGAGGAGAAATAACTCATGTCAACAGATGGGAATATTTTCTGCTACACAGATTTATTCAACAAATGCCTACACAATAACAGCTAAACTACATCATTATAATTTTTATAACCATTAGCATATCATTGTTACTATCACCACCACTCCAGCGCTACTACATGATGATGACTGTGGCCACTACCCTCATTATAAGGGAAAGTAGAAGGGTAGGATTAACCTTAGAAATAAAGGTCAAGGGAATTTCCTTCAAATGTGGAAATTCATTTCCATTTAGTAAGCATGCATATTTGGCTAAGATAATTTCAGGGAAACAAAAAAGGACTCCATCATGCCCTCCAAAATTTCCTTGTCAATTATTATTTCTTATGCTACAGGGAAAGAGGGACATATATTCTAATTTATTCATAGTAATGGAGGCTATCTTGCCCCATTAAGAAAATTAAGAGGGATGATCTATAATGTTATTTCATTATAATATAAATTTTTCAAACTAGAAAGAGTTTGAATCTTCAAACAGACATGAAGAACCCTTCAAATGGAACTTAGAATACAAACCCTTAATCCAGTTCAGAAAACAATTTTTAGATGCTGGGGAAAGATATGAAAACTTTTTTAATTTTGTATGTAAAATTAAGTACTCTAGCTAATTAAACCTTATTTTTTTCTTTATTCATAAAATGGTACTATCCTTTTGAGAAAAATAAGATAAATAACAAATTATCTGACTAACATAGGGGAAGAAAATAAAATATTTAAGTGTACATATTACCAAGTGTTAATAATAACCAAACATAACTCACAATTATTTTTAGATGAAAATGGTACATCTAGGCCCGTATTTTTAAGATCTAGAAGCTGATGAGGTGCATCAGTGCTAAAATAATTTCTTATAGGTAGAAATTAACAATGACAATGAATGTCTTTTCTTTCCTGAAAAGCTATGTGAATACATACCCCAAGTTCATGAACTCAATTTACTTGAAATGATAGCAAGATGGAAAAATACCTTTAAAAAACAGATTTCACAGACCATACTTGAGATGGTGCTCAAAGAAGGAAAAATTAGAAAGGACTCATATCATATCCTCTCATCGATTTTCATGCCAAATTCCCATCATTTCTAATGGCAGTTCTGAAAATGGATGAATGATAGGAGTGCTTTGAAATGCAATTTAAGACCCAAGTGAGGCTACAAGTGAATCCAACCTTCAGAATAATGATTTGCAGGAGAGTAAGTGAATTATAAGTGTTTAGGAGAAGCCTACCTGAAAGTTGATATGTTGCTAATCTCCAGTTTTTTAACCTCTGGAAGCCTTCTTACCATCACTATATAGAACACAGAAGAACTGCTTTTACACTTCAGATTTACTTCAATGAACTATGCATTAGAGAATATTTCTGAGACAATACCAAGCACACTGTTTGGTATTTTGAAACTGAAAAAAGTAAATTTACTGACACGGGATACAAATTAGTTGACTCCTGATTTATTTTATTTATTTACACATACAAGAACTGTGGTATAGGCCAGAGGTGGGGAGGGTGAAAGGATTCACCAGAGACAGAGTGAGGAGCAGAATAGGAAGATCTACCAAGATACACTGCTGAGGGGAGCAGCAGGGGAAGCAGGAGAGGTCTGCTTCGCCATGTAGGTTCGCTCCCTGGCCAGCAATCGAATTCATGTGCAGTAGCTGGAAATAGCTTGATAGCACTGAGACTTTAACACCTGCACCATCAGGGAGGCCCCTGATCACATTTTTAAAGGCAGGAAAAGTGAAAAAGGAACATGAATGTCTAGCTTTCCTTTTTATCAGAAATCAGAATCTATGTAAGTTCAGGAATATAAGTTTAAATATGAATTTCACATGTTTAGATAATTGATATTAATGTGATTTTTATATATTATTTTATGTTGCAATCCTACCAACATTTATGATATAATTTATGATATAATATTTATGATATAATATTTTAATATAATATTTTGATTTATAATTTATGATATAATTTATGATATAATATTTATGATATAATATTTTGAATGAAATGATGCTTAATACAAAAGGATTTTAATTTTTTTCCCTATTTTCTTTGTCTTCACACTCAAAATTTTCAGTTAATCAAGATTTAAAGATGATCAAAATATATTCTGAGTATTCAGCTGCAACAATTGAAAGTAATCTGAAGGTTATCCTCCTTTAAGCAAATGATGTGTTGCCTTTGTTATGGAAACACACTAAGTTGTACCTTTCATATTCCATTCAAATTTACTGCAGAACCTACACAGAGCCAAGAGGAATAAAACAGTGGTGGGGAAATAAATTGCCTTCTCTGACAGCTGGTCAAAATAAACGCAAAGAACAGAGTGTGTAATCTGAGATTACTTAATGTTTGTGAAGTGCTTTGAAGGTGACAAGAGCTAGTTATTGATATGGCGGAAAAAATGAGAAGTAAATATTACTGAGCAATTTGACATGGGCTATGCTTCTTGAAAGTTGGAATTGCAGAATTAGGACTAGAAGCTAGGATATGTGTCAGTACCTTGCATGCTTACTGTTTAATTCCATTCCTTTTCATTGCATTCAAATTACTTTGATTACCAGACAGCCAGAATCAGGCTCATAGGAAGTACAAATCTGGCTGAGAGGCCAAGTGACCCTGGCCCACAAAGTGAAATGAGGGACGGCTTATTTAGTGGCTCCAAAGTGGTTCCAAAGGTTATGCATTGAAGCATAAATCATAAGTCTCCTGAAAGAAGTCACTTAACCTCATCATGTCTTATTAATTAGATGAGAAAACTGCCAAATGCACTTTTCCATTATTATTCCTCTGGGACATTGGTAATACTATCTCTTCCAGGATGCTAAAAGAAGAC